TTTTGTTTTTTTGTTTTTTGTTTTTTTTTTTTTTGGTTTTTCGAGACAGGGTTTCTCTGTGTAGCCCTGGCTGTCCTGGAACTCACTCTGTAGACCAAGCTAGCCTGGCCTCGAACTCAGAAATCTGCCTGCCTCTGCCTCCCAAGTGCTGGGATTAAAGGCGTGTGCCACCACTGCCTGGCTTTTCACAGCTTTTTAAATTAAAGTATTTTTCATTGTGTCTATTCATTGTACAATGGTCCTATGTCACACAAGGACATTCTCATACAAATATGTATTAAACATTGAGTGTGTTCTCCCCTATAAACCCAGAGCGATTTGTTCCTCTAGACTAATGGTTCTCAACCTTCCTAATACCCAGACTCTTTAGTACAGTTCTTCATGTTGTGGTGAGCCCTAACATAAAATTATTATTGCTACTTCTTAACTGTGATTTTCCTACCGTTATGAATTGTAATGTAAATATCTGATAAGCAAGATATCTGATATACAACCCACAGGTTGAGAGCCACTTCCCTAGACAATTTTAGTTCTATGTCATGAAGACATTCGTGTGTGTGAATATGTGATTTCATATCTCTATATAATAAGATCTAGGAATCACATATGAGATAAAGCATACGATATTTGTCTTTTTGAGACTGGCTCAACTTGTCTGTCAAAAGGATCTCTAGTTGCCTCCTCCATCCCCCTGCAAGTAGCATGAGTCTTGTTTCTGGATGACTCTTCTGCATATGTGTCATGCTTTCCTTACTCCTTCCTTTGATACTGGATACATAAGCTGCTTTAATAAACTAGCTTTTGTAAAGAATGCTATAGTAAACATCGACGTGTGGCAATCTCTGTGAAGTTGCTATGGGTAACTACCAGAAGTGGAATATAGCTGAGTTGCACTGGAAGGTCTAGTTTTAGTTTTTTGAAGCACTTCCATGCTGACTTCCACAGTGGCTACAATACCTTGAACTCCTACCAGCGGTGTGTAGGGTCCGCCTTCATGAGCTTCCTCTTTCTTGGTTGTTGGACATGGAAAAAGACAGGGCACCAGAGTTTCCCTGTCTGCATGGCCCCACAGCTAACTGCAGACATGGTAACAAGGTGTAGATGCTTGCCAAGCCGTCAGCTGGTGAAAGCCACCTCTCCCTGACGCTCCACATAGGACTTTCATCAGGCAGAACTTTCTTTGCTGCTTCACACGGTGCTATGGAGGGCCTCAGCCTCCTGCTCTACACTTGTAAGAGTTATCGTGCAGATTTTT